CTGGCGGCGGGGGGGCCGGAGCGCCTCTCTCTGGGTTGAGAGCGCCTGCGGCGGAGAGGAGGCGGGCTCTGCGCTGCCTGGGGCTGCTCCGGCTCCTCCCGCGAGTACCTGCGGCGCGCCCCGCTCCAAAGGCACCTGCAGCCTGCGGCGCCGGCCGCCTGCCCACGCGCGCCCCGCAGAGCCGTCCTCATTCCGCTCTGGGGCTGGGGTAGCCGCGCTGAGCGTCACCGCACAGCTGTAAAAAGTACTTGGTGCGCGCGCTGACAGCGCAGACGGCCGGAGCAGAGGACCCGCGGAGCTGGGTCCTCCTCCAGGCTGGGTGCAGAAACCGCCTGCAGCCTGGGAAGTCCGGTTGGTGCGTTTTGCCATCCCCATATCCGGGGTGCACTGGCCTCAGACCTGGGTTCTAACTCATCCCCGAACCTTTCAAGGACTCTTGTAAGGTTGGCACTGTGTGTGCCAGTGGGTTTCGAAGGCTACGCGGTCCAGCTCACGAGGCGTTCCAGACGCTGAGCGGGGCCTAAGGGCGCGAACCTTGGGGCCGCCGACTCCCGAGCCTGACTCCAGTGCGGGTATCGGTCCCCGGGTGGGCCTCGCCTCCCCTCCCTTACGCGGCCTGGGGAGATAAATGGGAACACAGGCGGGGCTGCCTCCTAGGACAGCTTTGTGGGGCACGTTTCTTCCGAGAGCAAATCAAGACTTTAGGGATTTGGATCAATACAACCTGGTACAAAAGGAGTCAATTGAATTGTCTGCTCCGGAGCTGTAGGGAGGGAGGGACGTTAAAGGGCAAAATGTGACCGATTTCAAATCTGAGTTTATCACCTTTCTGACTGGCCACCGGGACCATCCTTGAATTTTTTTTCGCCCTTAAAAAACAACAACCGTATGCACTCTGCCCCACGACACTTTATCACAAACTGCGACGAAACACGAATTCCTCAGTTTAAGAGTAACAAAGAAACACTTTCAAGGTCAGGGTGATTTCTATTAAAAGCGGAGCTCCAGCTTCCACCCCTGGAGAGTTAATAAGTGCTGCCAACGGCGCGTGTTCTCTCCATAGAGGACTGAGGTGTCCTCTTCCGGGGTCAGCAGCTTTCTTTTTCAGACCTTTGTCCCACCAGAGGCTTCTCATGGGTGTTCCTGCTCATCTCAACATCCAAGTCTATGCCTCTTAAGAACTGCGATTTAAACAAGTTTCTTGGTTTTAGACATTACACTGTATTTAACTGAAAATGGAGACCAAAAAGTTAAGGGCAAAAGATTTATAAGATTAGAAGATCAGAGATTACCCAACCTGGGGTGGAGAGGGGTCAACAGTCAAGAATCCTAGACAATTTTAAGCCGAAGACTTACTGTTTTTCAGCATGTTCTGTCCTGTGTTAGCTTCTGAGCCCAGGGCCCTTCCTAGTGAGGTGACTGTTCTTAAAATGATGCAAATGTGGACAGGTTCCCTGTGTCAGAGCCCCAATGGCAATATCCTACACTTAGACTTCTCTTTCTCACCTCCAAAAGAGGGAAGCTGTTGGGGGTGGAGGGTCAAGACCAGGGATCTAACCAGCTGGTGGTGTGCATCCAATTCCCTTTACACTGAAAAGGCCTTCCTCCCATTCCCTCAAATAGTTAGATTAAAACCTTGTGGGAACATGCCCTTGGGTCAACCTGATCACTTGGAAGGGTAACAAATGACCAGACTTCAACTCCATATCCAAAATATGGGTAACCATTCAGTGAAGGAAAGACTGGATCTCAGCCTATAAAAGTTCTCTTCAAGATCTATCTGTGGTAGATTTAGATGGTTCTTGAGAAAGTGTGTTCATGTCATGGATATGTCAGGAGTGAGGGGTGCTGGCTGGAGGACATGGGAGCCAGCAAGCATTATATGGGTATCTTTTTACCCAAGGTGATTTTAAGTCAGCTTCCAATGAAAACCATCTTACATATGCTTGATGAGCTTGTGGAAGAGTACAGAAATGTACCTTGGGCACCCAGGTGAGCTAATGGGAAGTTGGCTGCTGGTGGGAAACCTTGCTGTCCTATGAGGCTGAGCAGAGCTAGCAAGGGTGTTCTCTGCAGCCCCTGGACTGTGTGGATGAGCAATGGGTAGGAGGAAAGAGAAGATGTTCACTTGTGCCAGACAAACCTGCTCACCCTCTCCCTCCCTACCCCCACCATTTTTCCGCTTAGAGGTTGCTGGCTGTCTGCAGACTGGTCATATTGGGAAGTGAGGGCTAGGCCTGCAGATGCTGATTCCTGGATACGAGTGTGGGCATGCATGCATTCATGCGCACACATGCACACTCATCCTGTCCTTAAGTAAGACAAGATTGTTCTTTAATAAAAAGAAGAAAGACTTCACCACTAATAAAGGAAATTTCCTCTGGGTCACTGGAGGTCACCATAGTGTGAACAGAGGCCCTCTTCCTCTTGAAGCAACAGGTTGGGTGAGGAGATGGCTGGGACAGAGCCTTGTCTTGCCTGGCTAGAGACCCATAATCTCATTCCAGCCCCACCTTCCTCACTCCTTGGATCCTCTGGGCAGTGGGGGAACATGGAGAGGGGACAAGATCAAAAGGTCCCAGGTACTTCATGAAGAGTAGGACACAGCTTCAAGTCCCTCTACCATTTGTCTTCAGAAGTGTCCCCTAACCTTATAAAGAACCTTTGCTTCATTATAAAATAGCATCATCCCCTAGGCAGTGGCAGGGATACTTGGTTCTTTTAAGTGCCGAATTCTGGTGAGGCCTCAAGATATTTTCAAGTCTTTTGAAAGGAACTCGGTGCTGGACCCAGTAGATTCCCACGACACCCTCTGGGCTGCTCGGAAGCCTCTGCCATCTTTGTGTTCGAGGTGCTCAGTTCCAGGAGAACTTCTGTAAAGGGCTACTGGGCATTGAGGAAGCCTTGGTCTGCCTCTCTCTCCCCCCCCCCTTTCTTTCTCTCCCTCCATGCTTCCCTCCCTCCCAGGGGTCTCAAGGATCTGAATACTTTGTTCATTTGTTTCCCACTGTACCTTTCAAAACTCTTTCTCCAGCTTCTAGGAACAATGACTGGAACCCAAGTCCCTGGCTCCTTCCCAGGGTGAATTTCGGGCAGAACCCACTGATGAAGAGTGCAGCGTCCAGCCTCTCCACCCTTCTGCTTCCCCTTCCTGTGTTTCCATAGTGCTCAATGCCTGGCGGAGTCCTCCCTGCTGGAGCCTAAATGCCACGGAAACTGGGTATCCCCAGAGCATTTCACACCTTGCTTAGCGCTTACAAGCAGGTACTTGTGGATGTGACTCAGGGTCTATCTCCCAACTTCAGAATGGGTTCATAGTAACATCTCCTGACCCAGATTATCCCCTTCCCCACTCATAAACACAGAACTGCTGCCAGGTGTCTGGTCTGTTCTCTTCTGTGTCTGTTTTCTTTTTCTTTGCCACTCTCCCTCCCTCCCCTGTTTTGTGAAATCTTTCTTCTCCCCACTTGGGTGCCCTTATCAACCCATCCTTTATCCCTATCCCCTTAGGAAAGGACTTGACTATGAGAATCATGGGTTAATGCTGAAAGATCTCTGAGGCCCAGAGAGGTCCAGTGACTTCCCTAAGGTCACACAGCAGGTTACCGTCAGTCCTGATTCATTTCAGCTCAGTGCTAGTTCCACTGGCTGCCGAGAGAAGATACCAACCTTGCTTTCACTCATTCATAAAAGGTGTGTTTATATTGATGTGGAATGTAGTCAGGACAGGCCTTGTTGTAAACTGGCCCAGATTCCCAAGTACCACCTTCCTGGTCTCCATCCCCAACTCTTCAGAGTACTGGCTGTACCTCCTGATGTGCTGAGGAAGAAATCACTGAATGGTGCAATTCCCAGCACAAGACAAAGTATGCAAAATTAAAGATG